AAGCTCAAGGTCCAGGATCAAGTTCAGAGATCGAACAGTATTAGCTTCAGAGCGCCGCAGGAGCAGTTTACCGTCAATGATTTTGAGTTGGGGAGGATTTATGGCGTCGGTTCTTACTCCAAGGTATTTGCTTTCATTTGATTGTGTAAAAGGTGGGATTTTGATTTTTTTTTTTTAAGGATATTGTTTTGGTGCTTATTGAGTGAATGATATATCATTTGTGTCTTATCCGCTGCGTTTTTGTTGTAATTTTGTTTGAGTCAGAAAGTTAATTGTATGGGTGGATGGACGTGTGGAGAGTTTAGGGTCCCTTAATTTTCTGTGATGACTGATTAATCAGGAGGAATCAGATTCCTACACAGCACAGGTAACACCCGTTAGAGAGCTGGAGGAGATTTCCTCCTGTGTGCCTTTCGATATTCAAGTCAGTGATAAATTAAGCAACTTTGTGGAATGCATGATCTAGTTTTAGAGTTTTATCCAACCTTGGTGTAGTGGGATTATCCACCATTTATAGAGAACTTGTGGGGGCACATTTGTAAATTGACCGGGTCGGTGCAGTCAGTCGGTCAGACTGCACTTTACACGCGTCGGTGGTTGGTTGAATGAGCCAGGTCCGTATTTAATGTGGTAGTAAGAGTACGGCTGAAGTGTTGGGGTATCTAAGGAGTCATTATGACTCCGGCTTGAGAAGTCATAATGACTCTGGCCATGCGTTTAATGCGATGATGACTAGGCCGCAAAGTAGGGGCGCCGACTGGCCATGCATTAAATGTGAGTGACCTTGGAGCTGATAGGTCATTCCTTCGTTCGGGACATTCTTTAGTGAAGTCCGACCAGAGGACGCCTGTCATCTTGGACTCGGAGTCTTTTAGCAGGTCTCGGCATGCAGACGTCTTTCTTCTCGGACTTGGACTGCTAGAGAGCTCGGTGGTTGTTTACACCTCGGTCGGCCTCTCAGATTATAGGACTCGGTCAGTTAATTATGACACATGGCCAGCTCTCAAGAGCCCATTAGACTCGATAATTCTCAGGATACAACAAGTTTGCAATTTAGTTGATGGGGTTTTTTGTTATTACTAAATCATTTATATGGTCTAATATTATTTTATGATTTGTGCCTTATATGAATAAGTGGAAGCTTAGGTAACTTTATACTTATTGCCAGTGAGATTTGGGATTTGGGAAGCAGAGAACTTAGACGTGGACTTGATGATTAAAGAAAGGCAATGTTTCAGGCCTTTTTTTGGTTTAATTAGTTTTTTTTTAATTTCTCTGGAGATGTTGTGTCCTTTTGTACAGAAGAAAGCACGAATTGTATAGAAAAGAGGAAGGGAAATGGTAGAGTATTTCATTTCTGTTAGGGAAAATTGGAAATCTAATAATGCAAATTATTTGAAACAAGGAACTTTGAGTGATGGGGAGTTCGGTTGAGAAACTTTACTTCTTATTTTATTTTTCAAAGCTTCTTTCTAGATCCGTTATAGACATTTCTTTGAGATGTTTGTGTTCTTTTGCATATAAGTAGAGCAGGAAATATAGACCAAATAGGGAGAGATTGAGTAATCCATTTCCTTCAAGGAATCAGAAAACTAGCAATTTAAGCTGGGGCTGAGTCTGTGGTTCTGTGTTTCTTTTGGCCTTCATTGGTAGCAAGTTCCAAGTGCACTTGGCACAATGAATTTGAGCTACTTTCTTTAGCTTCATGGATTACTAAAATCAAATACGTTGAACGCTGACTTTAAAGTTTCTGTATCCAGTAAGATAAACGCTGAGCATGCATGCCATTACATTGGAACTTCTGGTAAAGAAAAGAGGATACGGCAGAAACATAGTCGATATTCACTCTTATATACCTCTCTTCGGGAGAATTCTTTAGCGATTAAGAACAAAGAATAGGTCTCATGTTTTTGGATATTAACCAAATGACAGGTCATTCCTGGATCTCAGATCTTTCAGCAAAAGTAAGGAAAAGCTTTTGAGCATTGACCTACTTTCTCTGAAGCCAATTTTAACCAAGAACTTTTAACAAGGATCATATTGATAGGATTTGAACTCAGTTTCTCTTAAATTGAAAATTATTACATTCTGAAACTCATCAATTTAGGTGTCGCACACGTGCACGCGTGCGTGCGCGCGCACACACAGTCTAAAAACAGGAGATGTTTTAACCACTGGATCAACAATTTAAATATGACTGTATTAAAATAATTATTTGAGACTAACTACGTTTTGGAGCTTTTGGACTAGTAATCTGAACCATTCATCTTATCAAAACTGGAGTTAAAAAATTGAATGGAAAGGATTTTCCAATTTCTTTGCATATCATGGACTTTGGAGGTTGGCAAAAATATGTTGTAATGCCTTACAAATATTAAAGCCGTTCACTATACTGTATATCAAAAATAGGTGATTAGTTAAATAGGCCTCCATATTAAAGAAATTACAGAAGACTCTTGGCAAATAAACTATGATCGCCTTCTAGGGAAACATCGATAACTACAAATAGAAGTAGGTAAGAGAACTTCTTTTATTGGGTTTAGTACATTGATAGTATGGCGTAAGCAATGGCGTATCTAGAAAAACTTTCTTAGCGGTGTGGATGACTAATATCTATCTACCTAAAAATCAAAATATAATATTATAAAACAATATTCTTACAAATGGGTTAAATTACGAACTTAATTGGACTAAATTTCAGGTGGAGTTCAATTATCTTTAAATAAGGGGAAAATTATGTGTTTAAAAGGGTTTACAATGCATTTTTTCATGATCTTAGGGGTGCAAGTGCCCCCCAGGCTTGAATGTGAATCTGCTACTGGGTATAAGGTGACATTATCTTTTTGCGTTGTCACTCTAGAATGTTCTAGAGTACATGAGTTCTATCCTTTATAATATACTAGAAAGTATTTATGATTGCATACCACAACTTTGCATCTTTACTAATTAGAAATTGACAACACTCTGAAGGGCACTGGCTGACATCTGGTTGCATCCACATTTATATTTCCATATGTGACACAAGAACCATATATGCTTAAATGACACTTAAAATTAAAGCATCCTGAGGAGGTCATTAGTGACGTTCATCATATTAGATTGTGAAGGCCAATCTTTTAAGCAGATAGAACCAAAAAGGTTAATTAAAAAGAATAACCTATAATATGTACTTTCCATACACTTGCATTCTCATATAGTCATATTAGATTGTGAAGGCCAAACTCTTGAGTAGATAGAACTAAAAAGATTAATTAAAAAGAATAATCTATAATATATAGATGCTTCTTTTGTCTTCCTGTTACCTTATCAGTGGTTGCTAGTTCTCTGAAACCTTATGCAGAGAAGTTGCAGTTACGACTATTAATGGACAGAGGTTAAACTCATATGCTGTTTTTGGCTAATTGTCCATCGTCGATGTTGCCCGTCTTCCTTCTCTCTGTTTACAGCCCTATTCAAAGCGGTGCTCTTGGACCATTTTAAAGATGTAGTGGTAGAAAATCCAGGCATTTTCTCTTAGAGTGCCCCGTTGGTTTTAGTGCGTCGCACATTTACTCTTTTATTGCACATGTCGTGCATACACAGAAAATATATTATGCATACTTCAGTATTTCTGCATATGTACTATAGATTTCAGTAGTAACTTCTCTTATTACCATCTTCCCCATGTTACTTGATCCCTGATTCCTGAATGATAAGATGCTCAGTTTCTATGTTGATATTATCTAAATTTTTTGCTCCTATCTAGAAACTAAAGTTCTCAAATAATGGGCATGTCCTTTTCTTGGTGATTCCTTTGACCTCAGGTGGTAAGAGCAAAGAAGAAAGATACAGGAAATGTCTATGCTTTAAAAATTATGGATAAGAAGTTCATTACTAAAGAAAATAAAATTGCTTACGTAAAACTCGAGCGGATTGTGCTTGATCAGTTGGATCATCCTGGAATAATCAGGCTATATTTCACATTCCAGGATACCTACTCCCTTTGTAAGTGCTCTCATCTAATGCATGTAGTTCATCTCCATATTTTCTGAACCTTTATGATTTGTAGGATTTTATAGTGGATAAATTTCTTTCTTCAATTGGACTTATCTGAAATTGTTGTTTATGTTTTCTGGAGACATGGCACTTGAGTCCTGTGAAGGCGGAGAGCTTTTTGATCAAATAGCTAAGGTATTGTTTAAACATCAAAACTTCATACTTTTTTATACTTCATGTCCTTGTTTTGATATTTGTCTTCTCCACCTTGTAGAAAGGCCGTTTATCTGAGGAAGAGGCTCGCTTTTATGTTGCAGAAGTTATTGATGCTTTGGAGTACATGCACGGATTAGGATTAATTCATAGAGATATCAAGGTACATTATGGGGGCTTGAAGTTCTTCCTTTCTTTTTAAATATTCTCCGTGCTAAATAATTCATGTTGCCAGCCAGAGAATTTGCTACTCACTTCTGATGGCCATGTTAAAATTGCTGATTTTGGTAGTGTAAAGCCAACGAAGGAGTGCCAAATCACAGTTCTCCCAAATTCTACAGGTCATTAACGAAATTACTTTTGATTGAGGCGTTTGATTGAAATTATTAATTAATATGTCCTATTTGCTTATTGTATTTTTAATCTAGAGGAAAGAGCATGCACTTTTGTGGGAACAGCGGCCTATGTCCCTCCTGAAGTTCTCAATTCTGCACCGGCAACTTTTGGGTAAGAGTGCAGTACAATAAATGAAACCTACCTCTCTTTTGCATTTCCTCACGGGTATATCTGTTTTAAGCGTTAGATTATTCAGGTAGCAGGGATACGGGTGCGGACACTAACACGAACACGGTCACGGACACGGGACACTGCAAATTTGTAAAATGTAGGACACAACTATATTATATATATATATATAAGCTATATATATATATATATATATATATATATATATATATATATATATAGCAGAGAGAGAGAGAGAGAGAGAGAGAGATAGATAGAAACTTATGTAAACTTAAGTGGACCATCCACCAAACTTTCTATCCATTGATGATACCTAGGGATCCATGCAAGATATGAAGAGACTTTATATATATATATATATTATATATATATATATTATAATATATATATATATATATATATACTAGTGGATAGAAAGTTTGGTGGACAAAGACCTCTTGTTCACTTAAGTTGACATAAGTTCACCTCTCTCTCTCTCTCTCTCTATATATATATATATATATATATATATATATGAGAAAATGGTATGCTTGGTACCAAGCACAAATTTTGTGCTTGATAGTGAGGTGACACATCCCCCTCCACTCATTCAAATGGGGGACCACATTCACATGAGTTAAGGAGTATATGGGGATATGCAACCATTTGAATGAGTGGAGGGGATGTGATACCTCACTACCAGGCATACTCATTTCTTCTCTCTCTCTCTCTTATATATTATATATATATATATATATATATATATATATATATAATATATATATATATATATTTATAATGGGAGGATCCAAGAATCACTATTTATGCTACAGTAAATGATACAACAATTTAATGTAGCAACATTACTGTATCATTTTCAAAGAAATATAACTGTAGTATATGAGAGATACTGTAGCATCATTAAAAAGTACCAATCGGGTTACTAAAAATTCACTGTTGCAGAGGTGAGATACTGTAGCATTATTTTTTTTAAAGTATTAACGTATCATTTAAAAATATTATTAGTGTAGCATTTTAACGTAGCAATTAAAAAACTGGGATTACTATAGCGAAAAAAAAGGGAAGGCCGTGCTTCGCACGGGACGCACACATATATATATATATATATATATATATATATATATATATATATATATAATATATATATATATATATATAAGATCAAATATTGAATTAAAATACCTATAACATTTCTATGTTTCTTTCTATTATCTATAACAATTAAGAATCATGTTAAATCAAACGAAGAATAAGGTTTAACAACAAAAGTTTGGTTTTGATCACATGGGCTAATACGATGGGTTTTAGTTTTCGGGCAAAAACCAATTGGTTTTGAACCCAATATTACCAAAGAAACGAGTTTAGGTTATAATAGAGAAATCAGGTTTTTCTTTGAGCCATACGTGTTCAGGTCATGTCCATAGAGAATCCGTGTCAGACACGGGCATGACATCAAAAACGATGCGTCTAACCTAGTTATCGTAATTGTTGCTATTAATTACGCAACTAGCAGAAAGTTGTTCAAAAAAGTTAATGACGATAGGCAGATGCTATGATGCAAAGTTTATGGTGTCGCATCACAATATATGGGAATACATTTTTAGTTGAAATGAATTATTGGGTTGTTTTTTCTTCCGAGGATCTTATTTATGCATCTTCATGGAAAAAAAACTTAAGTGATATAATGGACATTGGCAAAGTTGCAAATAGCTATTTCAACAAGAAGATGTACTTTTTGTGTGAGGTTTAAATGGATGCTTTTCCCATTCCTCTCTCTTATCCTTGAAAGAAGTTGAATTCACAATCAGCAACAAAGGCTTAAAGTTTGCGAAGTTCTTTTTATTTTCCTTAAAATTACTCTCATCATATAGATGGTTGTTATTTGCACTCTGACTAGTGCACTTAATCATTCATCAGTGGGTAAATCTTTGTTGACTTGGTCGGAGTTTTTGTGTATTTGAACAGTTGCTAGTATTAGTGATATGTCCAATGATTAATTCTTCATCTTCACCAGTTATATATAAAACAAGGTGGCTGGGTCTCCAATTCCAAAGCCTTTCTTTAACCACTTTTATCTTTCGAACCTCCAAAACCCTTAAGGCTTATAGTGTATGGAATATACTGATTACTGGCCGTCATATGATCCAGATCTCTTGCGTAGGATTTTCTTATATGGGTATAGCCTCCTTACAAGAACTCGAATTAGGCTGATTCGTAGGGTATATTATATGTTGATCAGATTTTTGTTTCTTGTGTTTTTGCTGTATCAGAAATGACCTATGGGCTCTTGGGTGCACCTTATATCAGATGCTTTCAGGATCGTCTCCATTTAAAGATGCCAGTGAATGGCTTATATTTCAGAGAATCGTGGTCAGGGATCTTAAGTTCCCGGATTATTTTTCAGATGAAGCGCAAAACCTCATTGATAAGTTACTTGTAAGTCTATGCAATAATTCTTCTTTAAACCTTCAGAACTTTTGACGCACATTATCTTGCAATTTTAATACATACTACACACATAGACATGTTGTCTACATGTAAGCTAGTGCTCCTAATTTGTTAAGCAACATAATTATCTTCTAGTTTATTATCTGGTGTACATAAAGCATGTAATGTAGGTATCTTAATTTATTGTCTGATGTATATAAAACATGTAACCTAGGTATCTTAATTTTCTTATCTTTAAATAGATATCTAGTATCTTCAAATTTTAAATTTTCTTTCTACAACTGTAGACCCATCGATTTGGTATGAAATTAAAGAATTTTTCAGTGAGCTGTCTTTGACATTCATTACCAATTAGTATCTGGTTACATCTTCTTGTTACTGTTTCCCATTTGATGTCAGTATGTCTCATTGCACTAAAAACCTTTCTTCTTTGTGCTTGTGTCTGTCCTCAGGTTCTAGAATAGGCTTTGATGGAAGTATGGAGAAACATTCCACACAGCAATATCTTAGGACAATAGCGGATCTAAGATTTCTGAAAAGTGGTTTCACTATATAATTAAGAGAGTAAATTTCACATAACTCCCCAAAACTTTGGGGCATTTTCCTCAAAATTCCTCTGAAATTTGTTTTTCCCATGAAACCCCAGTCCTTACTCAAAAGACCCCCAAAACTCCAAAGAGTCTCAAGTAACTCCCAAAACTTTCAATTTTTCCTGCAAAGCCCCCCAAATCAACCACCCACCTAAAAAAAGCAAGGAGAAGAGGAGGCTTAAATAAAACAAGGAAAGATAAAAATTGGGTAGTAATAAGGTCCTCTAATTGCTGGAGACATTTTTTTGGGGGCTTGCGCAGAAAAGTTAGATGTTTTACAGAGTAATTTGAGGCTCTTTGCATTGTTGGGGGTATAGTGTGGGAAAACAAAGTTCAGGGGGGGGGGGGGGGAACTAATTAATAATTACAGAAGTTCGAGTGAGGGAGGTAGGGACCTGAAATTGTTATAAGGTCTTAATGGTTTGGGTTAGGTATTTTAGTAGGTGCACAATTAGTAGGGTCACCTAAAAGTTCTAGTGGTTGGTGTTTTAGTGGGTGTGAGTTTTTAATGGTGGGTTTTCTTATCAGTGTGGGTTTTTAAGGTGATGAGTATTATAATATGGGGAACAAAGTAGTGTGACATGATATCACTTTGCTTCATGTGGATCCACCTCTGTCTTATGTTGTTGATTCAGATTGGTATTTATTCAGCTTTTACTGGTTATGATTTAAATAAGAGCGATTTGGTTCAGCTATTAACTTGTCAGAAAGCTTTCTAAAGACTCAAATTCAATGGAATAAATCCTGAATGACCAAGTTAAATCTTTTGTATTTTGTCTGTTCTTGCGTTATCCCTTTTCCTTGTGCTTCATCTTCTTTTCTTGCTCCTTGTCTGTTTCTGAAACCTAGACATAAACCGGATCTTATTTAAACCCTTGATTTTCTCATGAAGAAACCCCATTCGTTATACTTTGTAATCGAGTAAATCATAGGTTACATGATGCATTACATCAAGGTGCCTTGATCCGGAATCATTTTTGCCTCTTTCAAGTTGCCTTCTGATTATTCCATTGACAAATTCTCAAAAATCCATGAACAAGTTGGACATATAGATCTCCATAAGCATAAGGAGGGGGGGGGGGGGGGCGGGACAAGGATAAATCCAAAATTTGACAAGTTCATGGGAGATCGCCTATAAAATATGGTCCTGAATCCCACATCTACCTATTGTTAGAAAGAAACACCAATTGGTCTATTGGCTTCTTGAGGATTACTGGAGCAGGAAGGAGAGATCCATTAAGATCGTCTCGTTGACATTTCAAGGTCTAAGTGAAAGGTTTGATGCATATGCTGAGTTACATTAGATTATTTAAGAAATATGGGCTTCATTTGCACTAGGCCTCTAAGTTCCATGTTTGCGAGGTTACTGTTTGTTTCAAGGAAAATTTTAGTTGTGGCTATTTATTTCTTTGCAACTGTAGCCTTCCCTAGCTGTAGCTGTAAAAGCAATCATATTTTGTAAAAATAACATATGGTCAAGTGTAAGTTGTTTCCCCAAAAATGACCCATTTGTGCAACTTTAATTTCAAAAGAATGGTTGCTACAGTGAACCAAATAGCTGCAAATGTTACTATATTTTGTAGATTGTAATTGTAGGTGATATTGCCATTTTTTGTCATATTGAATATCTTATTTACAAAATTGAAGTTTAGATTATGGGGATTATGTATTAAATCTTTTAGCTAGTATGGTTTGTCGGAATTGAATTGGGGCAGTGGCAATTGAATTGCAGCGGTGGCAGATCCACATGGAGCAAAGTAGTCTCACGTAACACCACTTTATTCAACACACTATAATACCCATCACCTTAAAAACCCACACCTACTAGAATACTCACCACTAAAAATATTAGGTTGCCCTTAAAAACCCAGACCCACAAACTAAAAATTTGAGATGATGCACTGAAAAACTTAGGTGAACTACTAATTGTATACCCATTGAAATACTCAAACGCCCCCCATTACATTAAGACCTCATGATTTCAGGTTCTCCTCTCCCGTATTCAAACCTGTATAATTACTAAAACTTTGGGGCATTTTCTGC